GATTAAAGAGTCGGCGATGCCACATTTACCAAGTTAAGTGTATTTTTGCTTTTCCCTATATGGTTTTCAAAATAAGGTGTCGGAGAGAGAGAGAGAGAGAGAGAGAGAGAGAGAGAGAGAGACAGAAAGACAGAGAGAGAGAATGTGCGACAGATGGTTGTTTGCTGCGCCTGTGCACATCTAGCGGTGCGCGGGGGGGTGCGGCGCATGTGCGTAGCCGCAGCGCTCGTGCCCCGGCCGAGCGGCGTGCCGCGATGTGCGTTTGCGCATTTGCGGGCGCGTCCCACGGCCGCGAGGCTCTTCCAAGTTGGTCGCGCGGCCCCGGGACGCAAACCGGTTGCCACGCCCAGCGCTCTACAAGCTCGAAAATACAGCCGCCTCCGACCAGCACGCGCCTGCGGCCGCTTGCCCGCCCCGCCCCGCCCCCGCCCCCACCCCCACCCCCGCGCCCCGCAGCCCGCCTCCGCAAGGCGGCGAGGCGTCGCGCGGAGATGAGAGTCTGCCCTGGAGCGCGAGGAGATTGGCAGGCGGCGGGGAGGCGCGGTGCGGTTCGCCCGAGCCTTCTCCAGACAAAGCGAGGAGCGGTAGATGCTGCTGCTGGCAACATTTGACATAAACGTCTCTGCATTTATAGTATCCCCGTAATTGCTTGAAACCTCAATGATATGAGCTCTTTCTGGAGGAGTTGCGTTCGCCGCGACCTTACACGTTGCAGCACTTCACTATTCTTTAGTAACAAAACTTATTTGTTTGCAGCACTAAGATCAATGAATATGAGTCTTTCATAGTACCTGAACGCGAAACAATATCAGTGTGAAATGATACTGCAAACTTAAGTTCGTTCGTCTTTCTCCAACATATTTGTGCGATTTATTTTAATCCTGTATTTTTTGAACGTGAGATTGGTTGCGAAGGGTCTGCTTTCACATTCCTCTCCCGTCTTTGGAGGCAGGGTCCAGTCGCGCTGATCGAATCCCCACCCAATGCCCGGTGGCGGAAAGGGGGCTCGCTGGCCCCGGCGGTGGCGGAGGTTCACCTTCCGTGACCGAAATGGCCAAGGCAGCGGCGGCAACTGCCCGCCCGTCAGCCGGTCCCCGCACCCGCACCACCGCCTGCCCCCTCCCTCGTCAATATCGATCTTCACCTCAACTGTCGATATCATGTTGCGTTCGGAAATGAAAACGAAATAGATTTTCTTTGGATGATTTCATTCAGCAGAGGGTTAAATAACATCCGTGCTCTTGACACGACGACTTGGTTCTTCTGGAGATTGAATTAGAAGCGGATACAGATTGAAAATTGGAATAATTCCAAGAATACACGAATATCCCCTTTCATTATTATATCCACGTGCGTCCATGAGTTCTTTGCAGCCTGTGCGTCTTTGGCAGTGCAGAAACGGCGTGTGCGTGGCTGAAGTGCGTGTCGTGCGCGGTCACCGTCGCCGCGTTGGGAGCGCCCGCTGGGCCAGTTTGCAAGATGGGCTTGTTGCGCGCGTTCCGATGTATTATCGGGTGCCCATTTATTCATGCATCAAGTGTGTGAAAGAAAATTAATTTCGAGAGAAAGTCTTTTAAAACATTATTCTTTACTTACTGCACACGGTATCCTTTCGCGTATTAACATCTTGCTAAATTCTGGCAAATGACATTTTCATGAAAAAATTAAAAATGCATTGCAGTCTTCGTTCACAGATTACGTTTGTAGTAAGCTTTTAAATAACCGTTACGTGAATGTCCGTCAGTTTTTGAAGTTCGTCTGAATCCCTGAATGACTTCAACACATTTTTATTAATGCAACTACGTCATGTTGTAAGTGAATGACAACATTGTGCAATTTTGCTGCGCCTCCCCTCTTGTAAAGTGAAGGGTTATTGTTGTATATGAAGTTGAATGGAAATGTCAAGGCGTAAGTACCAGACCTCTCAATGTCTTGCTTATGTGGTGTCGCGAAGTTGTGGATATTGAAGTCCATTTGTGGATATATTGCTCATTTTTCATTTATTTAATTTTGTTCGTCCAATTCTCAAGGTAATTGGATTGTGTAAACGTCAGAAGAAATATTTTTTTATCTAAAATGCACTGGATTTGAAATCCTAACGCGGTTTCACCCTTAACCTTAAAAAATTAAAATTGTATTTTTAAAGACCTTAATTTACCTTACATTATATTTTTTACCTTACATATAGTACATGCATTTTTCTATAAGGTCCTTACTAAGCTGCAAAAGGTGTAAAAGTGATTAATACTTCATTTTGTTCACAATTTTCTGGCTAAATGGTAAATTTACCAATGATCCAGAAACCTATTGATTTTTCTGAGTGAAATTGAGTTTACTCCTGTGATGTAACACAATGACACGAAGTTATTATTACCGATTTACTGATGAACATGATTAAATTGAGTATTTTGGTGGATCCACTCATTGAGAGGATTGTGAGTTGCGCAATCTGCGCACCGGAGAAACAGCATTGAAGGCAGTGAACTTGCTCGTCGCTTGGTTTGTTGTGTGGCGGCTGTCGACCACGCATCCCCCGGGGAGACATTGGCAATCGGGGAAAGTGGCGCGAGCGGCGAGCGCTGCGGAGTCCAGCGCTCATTTGTGAATGAGGCCGTGCGGCGCGGCGCGGCGCGTGAACGGAGCGACGGCGATAGGCCGAGGAGGAACCGCGGGCGGCGCTGGGCTGCAGCGCGCGTTGCGCAAGGCGACGCGCGGTGTCCCGTTGGGCGCTAGCGCTGCGGCTCGGC